CGTTAACCTGTCAATGTCCTGTAGGTTATGATTTCCCATGTCTACACACGTTAACCTGTCAATGTCCTGTAGGTTATGATTTCCCATGCCTACACACGTTAACCTGTCAATGTCCTGTAGGTTATGATGACCCATGTCTACACACGTTAACCTGTCAATGTCCTGTAGGTTATGATGACCCATGCCTACACACGTTAACCTGTCAATGTCCTGTAGGTTATGATTTCCCATGCCTACACACGTTAACCTGTCAATGTCCTGTAGGTTATGATGACCCATGCCTACACACGTTAACCTGTCAATGTCCTGTAGGTTATGCTGACCCAGCCTACACACGTTAACCTGTCAATGTCCTGTAGGTTATGCTGACCCAGCCTACACACGTTAACCTGTCAATGTCCTGTAGGTTATGCTGACCCAGCCTACACACGTTAACCTGTCAATGTCCTGTAGGTTATGCTGACCCAGCCTACACACGTTAACCTGTCAATGTCCTGTAGGTTATGATTTCCCATGCCTACACACGTTAACCTGTCAATGTCCTGTAGGTTATGATTTCCCATGCCTACACACGTTAACCTGTCAATGTCCTGTAGGTTATGCTGACCCAGCCTACACACGTTAACATGTCAATGTCCTGTAGGTTATGATTTCCCATGCCTACACACGTTAACCTGTCAATGTCCTGTAGGTTATGATTTCCCATGCCTACACACGTTAACTTGTAACTTCGACTGCATGACAGGATTGATAGAGGAATCACGACAAGAAGAACAGAATAATCCTCCCACCCGTCCCAACAAAAGTTTCATCAACGGACACTTCTTGTTTTAGTAAATAGTACTTTTAAACATTCGATTGTCAAAATCGAGCAGAGGTTTAAAGTGTGCGTCGATCTTGAAAGAATGAAAACACACACACTCACAAAAAAAAAAAAAAAACGAAAAAAGAAACAAAAAAACTACGAAGGCAGAAACTATTTGACCCGTGCCCTGACCAGGCCTCGAACACACAATCTTAGGCATCAAGTTACAAGGCATCTACTGACGGTTGGTACCGTACAGCGTAATTCGAGGACTGGTAATGGATCAAGTGAAAATGCCGACATACTGTAGGAAAGATGAGATAAATACATGGCATAGCATGCATAAGCTTACACAATGATAGAATTATACACATATTTTATTCTGCACGTTGATATAAACCACATTTGTATTGTATGTTGATACAAAATAAACAAATATTTTTACATTGGCGTTATTTGAGTTGTACATTTGAGTCTGATACGTCGCCAGAGTAATTTTATACCGATGTTAATGAAATGTAAAGTGTAATTCATTTCCTTTGGGAAACATTATAGTTCCGATTTTGAAAGTTGATTGTCTGATTGACAGATTTTCCGTCTCTGTGACTCCTCCCCTGTCCGGGTATCGTCTTACCGACGAACGTCAGCGTACTGGCCACTCTTGATTGGTTGCCAGGTTTTCCGTCTCCGTGACTCCTCCCGTGTCCGGGTATCGTTACACCAACGAACGTCTCCGTAACTCCTTCCGTGTCCGGGTATCGTCTCACCGTCGAACCTAAAAGTTTTTGCGATGTTCATAAATGAAAGTGTTTTGACCATGCATGTGTATGAAATCACCAAATCCACATTCCTTTTCGATAAATAGAATTAAAACATATATAGGGATCGAAGGGATAATAGCTGGGCAACCTGTACATAATGCCTTAGATGAGGCATATCATATAACAAACCTCTTCGTCTTTTCCTTTAAAATGAACACAACATGGGACGAGTGATATTTGTTTTTTTTCCTTTTATACACCACATTTTCAAAAACTGTAAAAAAAACCTGCATGTATTTCTAGTGTTTCTATGTGGGTACATTCTCGTTATTGGTGATATGGGAACAAATCAAGGCTAATTGAAACTGTTTTTTGAAAACATCTTTTGAAACTACTTGGTAGATTGGATGTCTTGCTTTGAGTTCCAGTATTCCGTGGTTATTGGTTTCTTTATTAACCCGTATTGATAAGTATCGCCAAGAAGCCTTTGAATTTGCTTATAGTCATTGGTCTCCACTTACGAAGTCTAGCGTGGAGCGACAAGCCAGGTTTTCTCATATTATCGTCTTGCCTATCTGAGAATACAGAAAAGAAACTTAATTATGTGTCTCGTGTGTTTTATCTATTTTTCAATTTCAATTTGTTAATTTATCAAACTCTTTCCAAACCTTATCGTTTTTGTAATTGAATTGAAACCAGTAAACCTTTGTTGAATAGGAGAAAATCTATGATTCTTGATAATCATATCGGTTTTCGCGCATTTTTACGATGTTGTTGAAAAGGGTCTTTTAGCTTGATCTCATGATTTGACGCCAATATTCAATTAGAAAATTAAATACATAGGCGTAGATAATATCTTGCTAAATGCAATAATATCTACACAAAATTTAAACGTAGAATTATTGGTATACTACCGCGAAATACAATGCTACAATGTGTAGGAAGTTGGTGTTATGAAGAACAGTATTGTAGACATTAACTGTTTGTCTGTCTAACTATTTTCGAATCAACGTCATGTTAAATACTAGGTTGAAGAAAGCTGCTGGAGATGTCGTCTGGGCAGTGATATTCCTTGTTCCAGCATTAAAAGATAAAAAAGGATGTTTCCTCTGTGGTTCTGTTGGCAAAGCGTGGAACCACGGCACCGCCATGTTTAAAAAAAAGTTGTATTTCCTCTATGGTGACGTTCAACACAACAAAATGACGTAATTTTTACTCCATAATGACCTCAGTTCTCAGGTGATGACGTCAAATGGATACGAGATATAACTTTTCTTAGGTGTAATAAATAAATACAGGAATCAAAAGTCCATTTTTGGCTCACCTGTATCGGCCCGAAATCGGCTCGATGGAACTCAACGAAGTAGTACAATCGGCCAAAAATCAGCTCAAAATCGGCCATGTGGAACATAACACGCTAAAAACACAAACTTCATTATCTTATCTCCAGTATAGAATAAAAACAAACATCACCTTCCCATTTTAAAATAATTTGAGCATAAAAGTGATAAAATTGTCGCAATATCAACAAAATTCAACAAGAACATAAGAAATTACACAATCTTGTTCGAAACGGTCATTCATATGATATAAGCCAATTAAAACGCTTCTTTCAATCATTGATGACGTAAAAGCAGTCACGTTGTCGATAAATTGGGGTCAGAATGTAGATCAAGGCATTTGAAAATGCTTGAAACGTTTCTCTGTGTGAATGATTTGTTGTTGTTTATATTCATTTCTAGCGTACACACACGTAATTCGTCATCATTACCTCCGAATGGTAAAGGTATTTTAACCCAACAGTTTAGACGAAATGTTGATAAATCAACAGGCACCGTAGAGAGATCGTAAAGAGAGACTCATCCGAGGTTGTCAGTACGTTTCCTTGAAATCGAGATTGGGATTTATTTATCACTCTCTATAGAATTATCCTGTAAAGGTAGGAGACAATACCATGTGACATGATTACATTTCATTGTGTTATTATCAACTGAAGTTGATCCCTGGATTGAGAATGTCACCTTATCGAATTTCTGAAATTACTGACAAACGACAGACTCACTTAAAACGGAGGAAAGACAAATCGGATTTTGCCACAAAGACTGTTATTATCGTTCTCTCCACTTCACATTTCAATGACACATTTTAGCATGTAATTATGATGAATTTCACCATCGTCGATGTCGCAGATCTGACTCAGCCGTAAAGATAGCCGCCATGTTGGGCTTCCGTCAGACTTCATTAATGTATCTCGGGATCATGAAAATTATCCAACATAAAAACGGGCTACATAACAATTATTTTAGAATTAATATTTAATATATTAAAACTTATATCATGTGTTAACTTACACAAGCAGCTTCACGTGCTCAAAGAGATCATTTGTCATTTAGACGCAAGGTGAACGACCAGGAGCAGATTTTTTTGCTTCATCAGCAAGTATCCTTAAGGCGTTCACAAACCGTGCTTTTGTTAGGCTTAGTCTTGATGTTTCTTTAATTTTGTCCTTTCGAACCATGAACAGCCTTCAGGGATAACTGAGAGCAGTATTGATCCACAGCCCACATTTGGTTTCCTGCAAATGATGGCCTCATATACAGAACGTACGTTGCTCTGTCCTGTATCCAATTAACCGTACGTGACATTACCTTTGTTGTTAATGACCGGTTGTATTTCGCTCACAAGCGGGAAGAGTACTTAGCATCTCGTTTGTGCCCAGTAAATCAAACACAATCCGTTCATACACGGCGGCTGGATCGCGTGCTTTACAAAAACGTCTCGTGCAAACCCCGCGTACCCCAAGTTTCTATAAGATATCATAATCACTGATATTGTACTCGCCGGACTGGTTTTAAGTGAAAATAATCATCATAAATTAATGAAATATATTTACTTCTCGGCCAAGTAAATATTCATCATTTCTACTTATACACAAACAGTTGTGTGTTTGATAAATAATTATCAAACACAAGCCCCTGGCCCCTATGAATTTCACCCATCGTCACTCGCACGCTCAGTAACTCGTCAATCACTACTGAGCTCAATAACTTATCACACACAATCACTTGAGCGCTCAATACCGTATCATACACAGTATTTCGGGTGCTCAATAACTCATCATACACAATCACTCGTGAGCTCGATAAATACTTTTCTTCCCACACAGTCACTCGTGCGCTCAACGAAAGTTATCGCACACAAATACCCAAGTGCCCAATAAACACAAATTATACCCAGCCACTGGCGTGTTCTTTGCTTAAGTCAACAATCATGACACTGTATAGAAAAGCAATCTTTAACTTCATCTATCACGTCTACCAGAATTATATATATATATGTACATACTGTTTCAAAATTTGATTTCTCCAAAACATATAACTGAAAGACAACAAACGGAAGAGACAATGATCTTATATAACATAAAGGAAGAGACGATGACCTCACATCACGTGAAGGAAGAGACGATGACCTCACATCACGTGAAGGAAGAGACGATGACCTCACATCACGTGAAGGAAGAGACGATGACCTCACATCACGTGAAGGAAGAGACGATGACCTCACATCACGTGAAGGAAGAGACGATGATCTTACATCACATGAAGGAAGAGACGATGATTTTACGTCACATGAAGGAAGAGACGATGATTTTACGTCACATGAAGGAAGAGACGATGATTTTACGTCACATGAAGGAAGAGACGATGATTTTACGTCAAATGAAGGAAGAGACGATGATTTTACATCACATGAAGAAAGAGACGATGATCTCACATCACGTGAAGGAAGAGACGATGATCTCACATCACGTGAAGAAAGAGACGATGATCTTACATCACATGAAGGAAGAGACGATGATTTTACGTCACATGAAGGAAGAGACGATGATTTTACATCACGTGAAGGAAGAGACGATGATCTTACATCACATGAAGGAAGAGACGATGATTTTACGTCACATGAAGGAAGAGACGATGATTTTACGTCACATGAAGGAAGAGACGATGATTTTACGTCACATGAAGGAAGAGACGATGATTTTACGTCACATGAAGGAGGTGATCATTGTTATACATCTTTCTTGCCATAATGTAATTTTGTGAACAGACAATAGACATTATTTTTGTCCATTAATGGTCGATACTAAATATGAAACTAAGCGCTCTAGATGATATAGCAATCATAACGGCACTGATTCCACGAGACGTGAAACGTTGGATACAGGGCAATGGATCTAAGCTGATCAACCTGATGTTAATAAAAATGCATTATAAATGTGAAACGAATCCCAAAGCTCACCCACATTCAACTTTCAGACGTTAATATCTGTTTTACATTAAACATATCCATCCAATTACGTAGGCATGCAACTTCGTGATTTCATTTGACACACTTTCCAGAAATGGATTTATCGTGATTTTATTACCCGAATAATAAATGTTGATTAATTTCCCACAACGTGAAGGATGTTTCTAGCAATGAAAGATATGTTGGATCGAGGTTTAGTAGACAATTTGGATTACGCCTTTGCATAATTGTTCGTTTTCTCTGTTATGGTCCTTTCAAGGGAAAAGGTCGGACATTAAGGAAAATATCGACAGGAAAGGAAAAGGTCGGTCATTGAGGTAAACATCTCCGGCTAGAGAAAATGTCGGACATTAAGGTATACATCGGTAGGTAGGGAAAAGGTCGAATATTAAGGTATACATCGGCAAGTAGTCATGTGTAATGACCGACCTTTTCCTTAGCTGCCAATGTTTACCTCAATGACCGACCTTTTCCTTAGCTGCCGATGTTTACCTTAATGACCGACCTTTTCTCTAGCTGCCGATGTTTACCTTAATGACCGACCTTTTCTCTAGCTGCCGATGTTTACCTAAATAAAGAGAGGGTCTTTCAAAGCTTAACTGAAATAGCACGGTTCATTGATCAGATACCACCGCTGTCATCTCCAGAATTTGATGCATTGAATGTATGAAATAAAGATGATAATGAGTGACGTTCGACCAAATTAAGAAAAATTCGGATTATGGATTTTGCACTTGAATTTGCGTCATACGGTGTATAATCTTAATTGGAACCTGAAGGCATAATGAAATGCAGTATATATATATAACAACAAACACAATTTGATCATTTGCAATATGTACTGAACTGTATCGTGAGATGTTGATGACAGACATAACAAGAGCAAGTGCCAATAACAACCTTTACCTTTCTGAATCCTTCCTGCACTAGTTCTACTTGTCCAAATGTACACAAGGTCTAGATATAGGATCTGATTGGTTACCTGTATATAGGATATTGACAAACTTCAGCTCTGTTCAATTGCATCTCATTTCTCACTTTTCAATCCTGATTAAGCAGAATATATATATTCTAATCTTTCACTTGTACCGCGTCATCTTGTACTGGGGGTTGATGGAACGTGACCTTTCCGGGGGCTGGCTGGACATTCTTCAGTTTGGATGTGGCAGGGATCGTCATTTCGATGGGACTCTTTGGTCCCGGTTCCTCTCCGAGATTCACACGGATGGCATCGTCGTAATCATCGTCGCACGAACAACGACTGGCCAGGATGCTGGGTAAGAGAAGGGCGGAGGCCAGCAGGACTCCTCCTGTACAGAACAGAATTAAGCCAATAAGCTTACACAGGTCCAGGACTGCGTTGTAGGACATAGCTCGATGATCGACCACCGCCACATTGTCGCCGTGAATCAATTTCCGTATGATGGGTTTCTGCGGCACGAAATAGCCCACGAGTATACCTATCATTCCGAAGAGAAGAAGGTTGACTCCACACCAGACACAAACCTTAAGCCATATCGGGGGACACCGCCGACGGCGTTTGGCCGATGGGTTCAACAACAACCGTATGTCGTCATCCTCTTCGTAGATCTGAGGATCCTTATACACATGGTTGTCATAGAAATCATGAAGATAGGATTTCACTCCGAAATAATCCGGACAAACATGTCTGCGTTTAGGATGACCTGAATCAGTATACTGTTTGCTTGTTTTTTTACTTCCGGTTCCGATACCGCCAGATTTTTTCAAAAGTTCGTGTTTCTCCTCCGCATGGCTTGCAGTGTTCGCAACTTCCGGTTTTTGTTGTTTTGTTTGGTCCGAAGTTTCAATGTTTTCGGACATGACCCTCCTCCTCTCAGGGAGAGTAGATATTCCACGTGCAGTCAGCACCACAAGGCGCTAACTATGGAACAAGATATTCCATTACCTGAAACGAGAGAATCCGTGATAAACTTAACATTTCCGAAGACACAGAAATATCTTGCGTGTCAAGTTTTTACGTCAATGTCGTCTATCTGCTGTAAGACTAATCCGTTCAATGCTGAGTAAATTGGCACGTGAGAATCACCCCTGACTAGCCTATAACGCGAAGCACACCTATCGATTTTGGACCACGAAGGAAAATATCGGATCAACGCCCACACTTTAGCATTGTTTATCGAAACTCTACTGTTGCCCTTACAGACAAATTTTAGCCTGCAATCTCTATGGATTTTTATTGCTAACAAAACCGTAACACACATTCATTGTTGTTAACGATGATGTTGTTTCCGCTGGAGTACGTAGATCTGTGTGACAATGACGTCAGACTGCCTTATTTATCAATGGAAATGTCCATGTGACACATGACAAACAAACGTTTAGATGAGTTTGATAATGAAGCGGTGATGATGATGATGGTCTAGTATTCATTAAAATTGTCTCTCTATATATAGCTGGGTGTGTCTATTACAAAACCATAAGGATTCCCCACAATTCTCTTCAGAACATACGACCTATGTATCAAGACCAAATACAAGTCTGGATGATTAATTACTTGTTCTTTGGGGTCTGAACAACATCAGTCAACATGCCTTTTTCCAACAAACTACATGCCCCTTCAGGAGATCATTTTTTTCAACGTGACATTCTTCTTCGATTTTTAGATAAAATTTTGAAACAATTTACTTTTGTACGTGTGTATCTGTCGTGATTTCAAGTAAACGTGTCCATTTCAACCTTGTTCATAAGTAATAAGATTTATAGTTTTACACGTAAACTTCACGTTTAGTTTTCTGCACTGAAATTGATATTTTGAAATTCGTGATTCACCCATGTACTACCATTTTGAAACGTATTAACATGTTTCACCCGTTACCGATATTCTGTAATTCGTGTTTAGATATTTCACCCTGTCCCGATATTTTGTAATTCTAGTTCAGACGTTTCATCCTGTACCGATATTTGTAATTCGTGTTAAGATGTTTCGCCCTGTACCGATGTTTGTAATTTGTGTTAAGATGTTTCACCCTGTACCGATATTTGTAATTCGTGTCAAGATGTTTCACCCTGTACCGATATTTGTAATTCGTGTTAAGATGTTTCACCCTGTACCGATATTTGTAATTCGTGTCAAGATGTTTCACCCTGTACCGATATTTGTAATTCGTGTTAAGACGTTTCACCCGTTACCGATATTTTGTAATTCGTGTTAAGATGTTTCCACCCGGTACCGATATTTGTATTTCGTGTGAAGACGTTTCACCCTGTACCGATATTTGTAATTCGTGATAAGATGGGTAACCCGTCACCGACATTTGTAATTCGTGTTAAGGTGTTTCATCCTGTACCGATATTTTGTAATTCGTGTTAAGATGTTTCACCCTGTACCGATATTTTGTAATTCGTGTCAAGATGTTACACCCGTTACCGATGTTTGTAATTCGTGTTAAGACGTTTCACCCTGTACCGATATTTTGTAATTCGTGTTAAAATGTTTCACTCTGTACCGATACTTTGTAATTCGTGTCAAGATGTTTCACCCTGTACCGATATTTTGTAATTCGTGTTAAGATGTTTCACCCTGTACCGATATTTGTAATTTGTGTTAAGATGTTTCACCCTGTACCGATGTTTGTAATTAATGTTAAGATGTTTCACCCTGTACCGATGTTTGTAATTAATGTTTAGGTGTTTCATCCTGTACCGATATTTTGTAATTCGTGTCAAGATGTTTCACCCTGTACCGATGTTTGTAATTAATGTTAAGATGTTTCACCCTGTACCGATATTTTGTAATTAATGTTAAGATGTTTCACCCTGTACCGATGTTTGTAATTCTAGTTCAGACGTTTCACCCGTTACCGATATTTTGTAATTCGTGTTAAGATGTTTCACCCTGTACCGATATTTTGTAATTCGTGTGAAGATGTTTCCACCCTGTACCGATACTTTGTAATTTGTGTTTAGATATATTTTACCCTGTACCGATATTTTGTAATTCTAGTTCAGACGTTTCACCCTGTACCGATACTTTGTAATTCGTGTCAAGATGTTTCCACCCTGTACCGATACTTTGTAATTCGTGTTAAGATGGGTCACCCTGTACCGATATTTGTAATTAATGTTTAGGTGTTTCACCCTGTACCGATGTTTGTAATTCGTGTCAAGACGTTTCACCCTGTACCGATGTTTGTAATTCGTGTCAAGATGTTTCACCCTGTACCGATACTTTGTAATTCGAGTTAACATGATTTACACATGCATTGATACGTGAATTTGATCATGTCAGGAAAATGTTTCAAATCTGAACTAAAATTACACTATAATTTTGTATGTAAAATGATGAGTTTAAACCTGATGGCCAATACGGGTTGATTTGAAATTTGAAAATGGTAAGAAATATCGTTATATTCTCGGCTCTTATAGGCTGTCCAGCTTATCACTTCATATGTGTTCGGTTACATTATTACGCGAGCTGCATCTAATATCTCGTCACAAACAATGCACGTACCAGAACAGTGACATATCTAAATAAACAACCAGAATTGAAAAAAAAATAAAACATTCAATGATAGAAAATATTATAAAATTTGTAAAAAAAAAAAAAAAATAGTGGTAACATTTATTTTAAAATAGCATTAATAGAATGATGATATAACATTAATGCAGCTCTCCAAACTGTGATTGGGTAAATCAGTGTTTGAAAACATACAGTCCTAAGATATGTTGTTAATCCTTGTCTTCTTAATATAAACTAATCTATTGCCATATATTTCGGCACCACGGATTTCGATAGTGAATTTCACCGCTATAGAAGATAAAACGGAAGATAACTTTCTCCAAAGTAGAGCAATAGAGAATATAAAAGCAATGATTTTTAAAATGTTCATGTAGTTATTCGATATATAGAACCAGGCTAAAAATGCGTGGGTAGTTTGTGTTAAAACAGCAATGCTTTAGAACTGGTTATCATGGAAATCAATTTATATATATATAGGGATATATTTCATCCAACAAAATTGTGAAAAAAAAAACATACAAAATGATGTGGAATATGCTAGAAGAAAAAATGTTTACTTACAGTAGTAGATAAATTGTTGAGATCTCAGAAAACACGCTCTATCTTGTGGCAGCCATGTTGGTTGAGACTGAGCAGCTGAGGCGGGGTATTGGTTGACGGAAACGCGGATCGATATTCCAGAACGGTCAAGTTCGATATCACAGCTCCGTGGTAGATAGCCTTGGGTCGTGTTTTGTTTGTTCAAAAAGCCACGGAGGAGCAAGAGGCTAGCGCTGATCAAATGTGGTGTGAAATCTGAAGCTAGTTAGATTTACTCAGCTTCGTCTGCGATGTGGCATGAACGTAGCTGGAAATTTATAGTTCTGTGGAAATGCAGTTGTAATGGAGAACGGTGTTGAGAACATCAATATATGTATACATATGAACGATCTGTTTTTACTAGGGCTATGTCAGTGATTTTCTATAATCAATCTCAACTACCAGGCCTATTAAAGGGAAATAATTCCTATATTCACAATTATATTTTTATTTCATTACGACCTCAGTAGGCATCTGAATTCATGTTGTACGTACTATGAATTACCATCTGAACTCATCAAAAGAGAACTTGTTTAATATCACTGAAATGTCGAATTTACATAGTTTGATAGTTTTTCTATCCTGTAATTCAAAGAGTAAATGATAAATCCATATTCTATTTCTGAGACAGTAAACAGCTTTCACTAACATGTCTTTGATCAATTAGTCCTGTTATTCATTTTTTCACGACAGTTTATATCAATTTCCAATCACATTATTTATCAACTTCTAACATTTTGCAAGTTACGATCATTCGCTCGCATCAAAAGTTATGATAAGCACATCTTAGCAACTCCAGTGTTTACAATCACTTTCGGAAGGCTATCTTGCACCCCTTAACATGCCAACTCTTTAATACTCAGTATGTTTGTTTTATTTGATGTTAACATTCATCATAGGACTGTAGTTTGGATAATCTGGGAGTTTTAATATTTTTCCGTAATTTTTTTTATATCGCGTTTCAATTATTACAATAAATAGTGACATGTCCACGAAACACACAGTTTTTTTTATTAAACTGTTATAGCAAACCACTGTTTTTTTAACGTGTTCTGATGACGTTGATATCCATACCTTTTACTTGTGGACTTTCGGCAAACAGTTCCGTGGAAAAACTTCTCTATCACACATTCCTTGCCAAAGTGATAACACACAAACTGGTAATAATTATGTATGAAACGACTACACTTTTAGAAAATAAACACTGCACAATTTTTCTGAATACCTTCATTGGTTTTACGGTTCGGTGATCGTTTTATTGTCCGATGAGTGTCAACATCAGAAAATTCATAAGTTGCTTTAAAATAATGAAAGGAAACAATTAATATCAAAAGCAATTCAACCGTGACCTGTTGGATACGGGTCTATTAAAGTCCCACACAATATGGTTCTGTTTTGTCCAATTTTTCTAGGAAAGGACGGAATCTTACATGGTAATACAAGTGACCTATAGAGAGAATAATTAATAGTATGCTTTGCTGTTACGCGTGTATACTTAAGATGACCCGTACTGGTCTGTGCTGACATGGTTGTAAATATAAACAAGATTTTTTTTCATGATGTCGTTTATTGTTTCGATTTCTTAACAGGTATATCATAAGTGTGGATTATATTGTTAGTAAATGTTATCAGAAATTACCGTTAATTTATTCGAATAAAACCGATCTCCCTCTAATTCACCAATGCAGATTTTTTTTTACCGTATAAAGTCATGCTACTGACGAAATGAAGAAATTATTTGGAACAAAGTAAATACAGTATGTGGTTTTGGATGATTAATTTATCATAGTGCGTGTATCAGATAGTTGTTTTATATTGTCAACATCCTGAGACTTTGCGACACGTCATGGTGTCGAAGACTTCCGTTCATTTATTTTTTAAATGTTTGATTGCCTGTTGCAATTCAATGCGTATAAAAAACAAAACAATATATGTACAAAAAAAGACAATTTATTTTTTAATTAGATTAGTAATTACTATAGAACAATTAATCATAATTAAATTGACAATGATTCATGAACACATGAGAGCTGAACAAAATGCAATTGTTCAAACCTTTAATTGAAATTCACATTGAAAATCTATTGTAGAAAAGTGCTCAAAAAGGTTAAGTATCTAATTCATAAGAGGTACATTGCTACACAATATATCTATGCTTAGGATATGTGAGTTCTCTCATTGAATTATTTACTGGTTTAATTATTATTCATATTCAGTAGAAAAGAAAAGAATTCTAGGCTTCAATGGTTTACAAGTGTAACCCTGGACCTCTGCTTTAATAGTCTGACGCTTAACCGATCGAGCTAAATAGAAGTTCTCTCGTGTCGAGAGGTATATTGAGGTAAGTTTTTTTCACCAGGGTTACTAAAAAAATTAACACTTTCTATCGTACGGTAAGAATTTATTAAGCAGAAATGCATATAGTCTTATCTGTATCATTTATTGTACATAATTATATTTTGTATTCTTCTCTGAAAATAAATAGACTCTACGTAAACCAGAGCTTTATCCTGAAAAAGTAAATGTTAAATGTTCCGTATCACAACACACACAAAAAAGGAACACAGCCATAGAAATAGAAAGCGTCCCGCATTCTAAGTGGCCACAGGTTGATTAGAGAACCCTACGGGACAGTGGTCTTCAAAATGTTTATATTCGTCGTAGCCACTTATGACAACGGTTGCTGGGAATGATCTAGGTCTGTTAGGATCTTTGATTGGCTTGGCATCCGTGGAAACATATCTGATGACGTAACCACATCGCCTGCGATTGGATCTGTTTGGGTCACTTCCGTGTACAAGGAGGCCGGAATGAAGTGACATTTGTCCAGCTTTGACTGGACACGGCGTAGACTTCGTGACATCAAAAAGGTGCGTCGGTATGGACTGGTTGGATGTCAACATGTTGCCTTTCTCCTCGGCAACCTTGTGCTCAAGTATCCCCAAAGTGTGTGTACCTGACAGTTACAAAATAGGAAGTTAGGGCAAAGACGGCTAATAATTCTAAGTGATACTTAATAGTTTAAATGAACCAAATATTGAAAGGAATAAAATAACCTACCCGGTATGACGCACATGCATCCATTCTCCTGGTCAGCGTCATCCACCGCTAGCCATGCGGTTACAACTTCACCCTCCACGCCCCAGTACCTGAGAATACAAATGTCTTCATATTGGAAATTTTGGGCGTTGTCGGTGAAACATTTCTGAACGAGCCTAACAAAGCATGGGCTGTTTTCAAATGCTTTTGCCGTGAAAAATTATGTCATATATTTAGATTGATGAAGTATAGAGATTTAAGGGAAATGCATACCTGATGTCCTGATGCCACGCCACGTATGGCTTAGTCCCGTGGGGCTGGAGCACTTCTGATTCTGGATATTTACAGATGAATCGCGAGTCGAGAAGGATGATGTTGTGACCAAGGATCTGCCGGACTGAGTGCAGCAATTTAGGATGTGAGGCAATGTCCATTACCCAAGGGTGATTCAGATGGACATTATGGAGAGAGTACTGGGCATCATCTTTACCTGTAGAGTAAGAATACATGAGCCAGTCTGATCTCAGAGTTTCCAATCAGCGACAGAACGCGAAATAAGGTAAGTAGTTTCACCACTTAGTAAAAAACAAATAATGCTAATAGACCCGAATACTCAGTGTCGACAGGGTACTTAACAATGCAAATAACAAATAACAGTACACAATGATAATAACAATAATAGCGACAGGATACGAAACTACCCCAACAGGATCATCACTGATTATAAGACACAACGTCAATAGAATCACCACACAGTTAAAAAAAATACGAAACGACGTCAATAGAATTACCACTGATTAATAACATAATAAGACACAACGTCAATAGAATCACCACACAGTACAAAAAAATACGAAACGACGTCAATAGAATTACCACTGATTAATAACATATTAAGACACAACGTCGATAGAATCACCACACAGTTAAAAAAAATACGAAACGACGTCAATAGAATTACCACTGATTAATAACATATTAAGACACAACGTCGATAGAATCACCACACAGTTAAAAAAATACGAAACGACGTCAATAGAATTACCACTGATTAATAACATAACAAGACACAAGTACAAAAGAAAAAAAAATACGAAACGACGCCAATATAATCACCACCTAGCACCAGCAGAATACAAAACGACGTCACTAAGAGTAGTGACTAATAACTTGTTGGTAAATGATTATTATTTCCGGAGCTAATAAATTCGTATAATGAAAATCTAAACATCAACAATTTGCTTAAAAAGGTAGAAAGATTGATTGTGAAAGAGATGTTTTAAGTTATTAGAAACTATCCACCATTACCTGTGTTTTCTTCGAGTTGTCCAAAGTGTGTCTGTAAATTGGCGACTTCTTCCGCTGATAAAACTGCGATTCCAGAAAAGTAACCGTTTTTGTTATAAAAGTCAGCTACGTGCGCCATTCTGCTCGAAATCAGTACTATCTTAATTCAAGGCTATGAAGTCGATGTTTGATTAATTCAACTCTTCCAAATTTCTTCAGTATTTATAAAAAAGTAGAGTCACATGACTGTATGTAAATGAATGGTGGGCGGAGTTAGGACATAGAATTAGAATAGGGAAGATAGGAAAAGGAAAACCGACAAGGAAGTCGGTATTGCTGTATACATGCACTCTGAATATTTATCTACGCATTATAATACATGTGATATCTATCCGTTGATAAAAATCCGCTTCTCTAGTGTCAAACATAGGAGTGGTTAAAGAAAGGGGAATGGAGTCGGAAGCAGGTAGTTGGGGAGGGGGTTAGTGTAATGAAAAAGTGTGGTGGATGTAGGAATTTGGGGAGGTAGTATCAAACACAGGCGTGGTTGGGGGAGGGGGAGGAGTTGCAGGGAGTTGAGGGGAGTAGGGGAGGGGTTGAGGGTTAGTGCCATGAACAGGTGTGGTGGGGTTTGGCAGGGTTAGGAGGGATTGTATCAGACAGAATCGTGGTGTGGTAGGGAAGGGTTAAAAGGATAGTATTAGACACAGGCAAGGTTGGTGGAGGGTAGGGTTGGGAAGATATTTACAGACACAGGCGCAGGGTTGGGGCGGGGGTAGAGGAGGATGTATTAGACACACATATGGCGGGAGATGAGGAAGGGGACAGGAGAGATAGAATCGAACACAACGTGATGTTTAGATCAAATATTCACCGTTATTCAACATTTTATTCTCTGTAAACTAATTTTGTGAAATATTGTAAGTTGAAGATGTATACACGTTATATGTCACGTTTTCAAATATAGATAGATAATATGAGAAGTACTTTCGCGTCAATTATAACGAATGTTTTTTCTATTTGATCAAGAAAATGACTGCTTTCTAGTATCAATATCTCTAGAAAGCCTGGTATATTTCTCCTTCCACGCTGCATCTTATTTACATAAGCATGCATTTTAAAGGGCTGTCAAATTCGCGTGTGGCGATCAAACCGACTCTTATCTCTGAAAATGTGCATAGGAAAGGTTTAACTCTCAAAGTCAATACACAGATCAAATACCGTATCTCGGGTGACATCGAAACCATGTGCCCTTCCACACGAAATCAAAAGATCAGGTGATATGTTTGTCAAAATGTTTTACATACCTATGGTGTTTTAGGCTAAACGTAGTCAGTACGCATAGCCTATTGCGACGGCCTTTCAGACAAAATTTACCGATCCTGGCCTTCTCATTGGCTGAAATATCGAAAAGAGTTAGAGCCCACTAGCGGCAATTTTTTGCGTTAATAATGCCGCGATCTTTCAAATCGCTATTTTAAAAGCATCCAAAATTAGTTTATTTTTTAAATAACAATACGATTACTATATATTTCAAAAAATAACCACAGTCTGGTTGAACTATTGATGATTTTTTAACAATATATTTTACGGAATTCTCGACATGACGTAAGTGTACAGAACACTGTACGTGCGAGTTGATAAGAAGCTAGTCTGGGGGCTTAGTTTGAATTATCAACCAACAACACTTATAAACAAACAAAACTTACAAACAGAACATCAATTTTGTTTTAATCCTTGTCGTTGTGGCAAGATCGTCTTAATATACAACATCACTTTACCTCATTAGACGTCATTACCTCATTGGACTGACCGTCCCACGCGCACACCCGCCGATATGACACTTTTTCAGGTTATTCACATCCACCGCCATGACACTTTTTCATGTTTTTGAAGATAAAAAGTTTGCGCTTCGTAGGCAAGGTACATTTGGTGCTCATGATTTATGAATGATATATTTTTGATACAGTGCTGATCATGATGTTGACTTTGTTATAACTTATATTTTTTGTATTTTAGTTTTATTTGATGAAGGTTGTTTGTGCTGATTTCTCAAGGTTTGTTAATGTGTATCAAAGTTCCTTGAAATGAAAATATTCCTTCAAACAAAGCACGTATCAAAAAACCCCCAAAATATTCATGTTTATAATTATCAATTAACTAAAACGAAATATATCCTTAACATATTTATTCATTTAGCGTGTCATGGTGACATTATCTAATGCATTGGAGATCAGAAATAGTAGTAACTATAGTGAAAATATTGTAAATTTTGTATATATATGGAAGTCTGGTTTAATCTCAAAGAACTATGTCTTTATAGACATAATTACTGGAAGAAAGGTCTAACCATGATACTTCAAGGAAGATAGGCATGTAAATACATTTAATGTAATTACTTACACTTTTATCTATCTGAAATGCTGTGTACACCTTATTTACTTTCCTCAACTACAAATATAATTATAATAAGTAAGGACTATTACTTTGCAATACATTCAAAATAAAGAAGTAGGTATAAAGTGCTTCCGATTTGTCTAAATCCTCATATTGATAGGATAGTAATTGCAACATCTTGGGTATTTCAAAGGTTCTATTTAGTCAACTTCATCATAGAGCTATTTATCATTTGGCTTGTTGGCGATAAATATATGGTTGTGTGTATTTTGTTATTTTTTTTACCTATTTTGATTTGTTCACATTATTGTCGTAAAGTTTGAAATAAGAATTAAAGAAGATATAAAATCGCTTAAAATTAAGAAAAATAGCCTCTGGTTCTCTTATTTTAGTAATTGTTGCATTCCAAAGTGTAGGAGTATTGGGAAAGTAATATAGCTTAGCGGTTATTTGTGAACATTTTTCAGAACGTTTAGCCTCTCATTACTTTCAGTACTTTGATTTATAGTAAGGTTCATCAAGCTTCAACACAATTATACTTTATACAGGAACCACCCTGTCTTCCTCACTTCAGTATCACAATAGGTATAAATTTGTAAGCTAAATTCTAAAATCTGTCATGAATATAGAACGTTCGGAGCACTGGATATGAATTTGAGATTGGGGATGGTATTCTAAGGAGCAGATGGGGGTGGGGGGTGGGGGGTGGGGGTAAAACCCTGGCTTGGATATGGTCAGTGGAAGAAAAAAAGGATTGGGAGTTAAGAGTTTCGTGTAGTCTTAAATATTTTGCATTTAACGCAATAATAAAATACTTATAATCAAATAATTTTTTAGAATAGTTCCGAGCTCGTGTCTGACTAGCTCAGATCTTGTACAGTTTTAAGTTCGTCATTCCGTCAGATAAACTTCCCTTGATTTGATCAAATATTCTTCTTTTCTTGGAGTGTGAACAGATATTTCCAACATATGGATCTTGATATTTAACTAACCTGATTTCAATATATTTCGAGTTCGGTACTTAACAATATGTACATCATATTATATCTATGTTGATATCGAGGCGTGTGTTTGTAAAGGTCGTTTTTGGTTGGTTGTGGTTGGTTGGTTGGTTGGTTGGTGACAGGTTTTTAATCTTCGCGACTCCTCCCATGACGTCACGTCATATGTTGACGTCGATGTTCACAAAATGTACAAATGGGAATATTCAGTAGTCTTTTTTTTTGGAATCCTACTATATTTGGAATCTATTTAACTTTAACATATGTGTTGTTAATATTTTTGACGTTTTTGATACATATGTTACCAGTGTAGGCATTTTAGATACAGGTCGTTCTGCAAAATAGGAATACATAGATAAGTGACTCTTTTCACGTAGTATGAATTAATAGTAGCTTTTTGTGGGACGAGCTTCATAAAATCGGATAAATGAAAACAAAGTTACTGTTTATCACATGACTCAGAAATTTAACATTTTGACATTTTTTAAATTACAAATATGACGACAAAAATCTCTATCCAGATTTTCCGTTCTTTTCACTTTTGTTGGCTAGGTCCATGGGTAGCTCTAGCAATCAAAAAAGAATTAAAACATATGAACAAATGAAAATTGACATTATTTTCTAGAAGATAAGTAAACCTGTTTCAATGTATGCGGTTATCTGCGGTGAAGGCTGTTAATTTTCTCAGTTTTTGTGCATGTTTTATTCTGAATAAATGTTGATTTTTTTATTGCTATAGATTCGTCCCAGCTTTATCAGGTGTTCTTCATTCAGTTGTAATTTAAATATTACAAGGACATGACCGAATGGTCAGTGGAACCATTTAAGAAATGTAATGTCTCACCATCATTACTAAGTCAGTTGTATATTTTTTTCTTTTAAGAAGTGGAATTCCTTATTCAAGATGTTTTTTGGGCGAGAACACTAAAATAGAGAAGTATATAAAATGAAAGTTAATGAAGAAATGGGGAAACGACATCTAGGGCACGCAACATAGTGATTTCGAAAAAAAAAATGTCACTACTTTGTCAGAAGACTGACCACATCTCTCAAAGCCCCAATTTCAATTCCGTTTTCAAAATGTCATCCAAGCAGCATGAACAACCCTGACAATAGTTCAGAAAGGGATGAGATTGTAAATATATAGTTTGTAAAGGACGTGATTATTTTTTAATGTATAAACTTAATCTTAACTAGTGAAATACCTGAATTAGTGTATTGATATGTGAAACAGATTACCTCCCTTGACACACAGTAAACGTAAAAGCGACAGCAGTAGTGTCATAAGTGTTATTGGTTTTTCCACACGTATATACACACAGCAATTCCCAGTCAATTCGGATTCTCGGAACAGACTCACGTTTCGTATAATCAGCATCTGATTAATTTTAAGGGATGGTTAGATAAATATAGTATCAGTAGTAGTTCTCGATTCATACAATAAAGTCTGTTAAAGTGAAAGTAAGAGAAATCTTAATGATAATTAACACAACAAAGCCTAATAAAGTGAATGTAAAAGAAATTTTAGTGATAACACAATTAAGTCTGATGAAGTGAAAGTAAGAGAAATTTTCGTGATGATTAACACAATGAAGTCTGTTAAAGTGAAAGTAAGATAACACAACACAGTTTGATGAAGGTAAAGTAAATTACTGGTAAGAACTTCTTTTTTTTTTTTAATAAACACAATAAATTCAATCATTATCACATTTTAACATAAGCAATAGATAAATTAAGTTTG